AAATAGAACAGAATTTTAGCCCAGTTGTCCAAGCATTAACTTTATCTCGAATAGTTTTCTACGATATGACCCCGCCATGTTGCTTGTCACTAACCACCAGCGATATGACCAATTGTACGTTCCCGGCGTTCGAGCGGCGACCCAAGAACGACATATCAAGCTGTTCGTGAACATACGAGAACAAGCCGCCCGAACACGGCGCTGGCTTCTACACCTACAATCCCATACCGAATAGTGTCACCAAATAATAATTTGCAATACTTTTCTATACCTTTTGCGGGAAGGAAATTGGTATGATATTTATATGTAAATGTCACTAATTTCCCCCGCAGGGCCTTGTTAGCCCACAGAAAGCAATCATATTATGTCCTAAAATGTCGAATGTAGCAGTGAAAAAATTGAAGCCTTTTCTTTGAAAACACTTGGAATTTTTCAGACCAACCTCATAGGGTTTGTGCACAGGGTGTCAAGTGACATTCGTAAATGGAACTCACTCCAGGAAATCTGTGCGGATAGCAGGATTGACGTATCAGGTAATTTCAAGGTTGATTAAGTGTTGATTAATCCAAGTACGGCATGTGGAATATGTTGTTCCTTAAAAACTCTTTCAATCGGGCCACGGCCCATCGATCGTCCAGAGACGAATTTCATCACTTGAAAGACCTTGCTCACATCCATCCATGGTAAAAGACTTGACCAAAAAGTGAAAAGAATTGAAAATCGAAGGTCCCGCGAACAAATGTCACAGAAGGGCGCACGGTGAAGCGATTCGTTTTATTCATTAATGACCCTTGCCCTACATTCCAGTGCAGCGAACATGCGTTAATTACGAACTAGCTCATTTCGCTCGTCGCCCAGCTCCCGGACAGGGCACTGGGAAGGGCGGATGGCCTTGCACAGATTATAGTGAAGGAAATACGTCACACGGGGTCAAAACTAACGACGCGCAGAGCACTGTGGGTAAATTTTTGCCAGGCGCGCGAGCTCGCCCATTGCCAAAGTGTTAAAAACTCTTGGAGGCGCTGCTGTGAATCGCCCGTATTATTGTACTTATCTATTTGTTGTAAATTTGAAAACCGAGGTAAACCTTTAATGTAATTAGCAACGGATGGGAAAAAGACCCACACATGGAAGCCGCGGCTATGCAACCCCCCCCCCCACTTATTTATATCCTGTCATAATTATAGCCACGTAGTTCAGACATGGAGCGACTATTGTGGGAAACGATTGCACTATGTATCGGCAGTTCATACAAAACGGATGCGCCTGATTGGAGATGGAGTTATTACATGTAAAAAGTATCATTACAAACGGTTGACTGCTCTGGCGGGGGATAATTCAAAAACGCCCATGGGACAGGGATATCAACCTAGCCAATGGCGAGGGGCGCATCCTGGGTTGGAGGGAATGGGGGGGGACAGGTGTCAACATTATTTTTAAGAAATTGTATTCCTTGGAAGGAGGGGCTCTTTCACTTTGGAAAAATCCACAATTCGCTGCACTGGGAAATCAAATGCAGGTCCCCGAAGGAATTCAAGGCCGAGTTCGGGCGGCATGTTCCCGTCTGCTCACGAACAGCTCTATTTGTTGTTCGTGGGTCGGCCGCTCGAACGCTGGGAACAAACAACCGGTTATCGCTGGTAGTTAGTGACAAGCAACATATATGCAACATGGCAGTGTCCATGTAGGATACGTTATTCGAGAGTTAATGTTTGCATGGGTTGAATTCTTAAACAGGAACATTCATTTCTGTATTACGGAAAATAATTAATGTTAATTTTGCAAAACTTCCCATTGTCTATGGCTTTGGAAGCCATCTCTCTACATTTTGCAGCTGTTCAAAAAATCAAAATCTCACGAGTTTTTCCGTGTGTTCCTGTAAAACACTGACGAGGAGGTGGTGAGTGATCCTGTTCCGAGTACAGTGTTCTTGAGTCGTGTTGTCGCAGTTCGAGCGCGAGAACAAGAAACCCGCGTCAAGAACGTTTACGGACCGCCCAAACTCGACCCAAGAGTCATATCCCACATCCCAGCTCCCATCCATTTTATTGGTTAAAGGGCCTACCTGTCTCTTGGATTCTTTGCAATACTATCCCCAACAGGAATGTTGTCGAAATTATTTTGCTATAGCAAAAAAAAAAGAGTTCAGTCCTCAGACACAGTATTCTGTACCCTGTTAATGACCATGGTAACAAGCAGCATTAATTAATAGAACGGTAGGAGCGCCAAATGCAACAGAGAATCAAAAAAGAGGGCGCTCCCCATGGAATTCTAGAGGGCGCAAATGGTTTGGCGGCCTTTAAAAAGTCTACGTGAGGCTTAAGGCAGATTAGCTTTCGCCCTTTCATCCATACTAGCATCTCCGAAAGAAACTGTCGACCCTGTGAGGAAAGGGGAAACGAGAGCTATGTTTAGTTCCTTCAGGCTTGATGTATTCTGTAGTTAATTCATAGAAATGAAAAGCGACAGAAGTGATTTTTTTACATTTCAGGGTGCAACTGAAGTTGACTGGAAGATCTGGACCACTTGTATAGTGATCTACATTTGTTCCTTTTTTTATCCCTATGTGGACGTGTGCACATTCAAAGGAGCTCTTCCCTATCAACTATCACATTGATTAAAGAACGTATAAAAATGATACCCGGTATTCCAAACCAACCCCATCAAAAATTAGTCTTTTTATGCTTGGATAAAGGGCACGTTCTATGTAGAAACACAAGCTTCCATCTAATCAGTTGGCCTATTCAAATTATCGATGTTATTGGACTTCTTCATGACACGCGAATTTAAACTAACCTTCTCCTCTGCATCAGCCCACTGGCGGGGCACGTGTACTCGTAACAGCCAATGACACGACGTTGGCCATACTTGAGTGTAATCACGCCCCCTTCTGGCATGATCGAACGGCAAGAGATATTGAGAGAGCTCCCGCCGAAGTTGTTCAGCTCTGGTGAAAAGGACAGAAATGGAGTGGGGGACATTTTTGAGTAATTTGTGGAGCTTTTGCCTGATGATGACAATTAACGGCAACAAGTGTAGGTTTATAGAGCAGTGAAGCCGAAGTGCTGTGGTACGGTGCCCCATTTCTGCCCTCAAATCTTGCACCAGTATCAATTGAGCGGCCCTCTGAGCAATGCCGTAGTCAAGGCCATGCATCACAAGACCAAGTAACAGGATGGGAAAAGAATGTGTTTGTCTTTAGCTTGCGTCTTTAATTCAGACTAGAGACCTTGTGTTGATTGTGTGGGGTCTTGAATGTGATGGATGGTTTGAAGAGGTCAGAACTGCAACTCTACTCTTAAGAAAAAAATGAAATGAGTTCCCTCCGGGGCGACGTTAAAAGTTATTAAACTGTGTCTCCCTCCCCGTTGTGTCATATTGCGGGCCCAAGCATACACTGGTCGGACATGACATAGGCTGGCCTTACTGAAATTGTTTCTTGACACATAGACTCCGCAGGAGATGTCTAAAAATGGCAGCAAACAGAGCAAACTGAGGAGACAGACGGCCCGAACCATGCTGCTGGTAACCATCTGAAAAGATAAATAAAAACGAGCTTTTACAGAGAACCATTAGCCCTTACAGGTTATCCTCCGACTTCAGCAGAGCATCATGCCATACAACACATCGCCAGGAAATCTGGTTTTAGTTTGGATGTGTGGGGGGCGGGCACTGGGTAGTAGCAAAGGACAACCATTGATAATTCACAGTATTAAAATTCTAGAACAAAAGTCTTCCAATTTCATTATTTATTTTCCTTTTTATTTCGTCGGGAAAAGAGAGTGAAAATGACCCGTTTGCCCATTGACTACGCGACGCCCATGCATACATGTCACAGGCTGGTCAGGGCCATTCCTGAATGACGCCCCCTGCAGGTCAAATGTCGTTCTTCAAACTGACAAGTCAACTTTCCTGAGGCGTCATGACGCGACACTGGAACCCTCCACTTAAGCTTGAGTCTTCTGTTCGAAAATGTGAAACAACTATAGTTACAGTCAATCAACTGCAAACCCGCCGAAGAAATAAAACGCTCGACTTAATTTACAGTCTCCATTAAACGGCGTATTACAAAGTGCTTCCAGCAATATGGATTTGGAACTAATATGTCGATTTCATTTTTGTCGTTTATGACAGATGGCCGCAGTGGCCTAAACACACCGATCTGTTTACACAGATTGATGGCAATATTTTTCGAGAAAACACGCCAATGGGTTCAACGAATTTCAAAAAGCTGAGGTTGTTACCTGTTCCTTTTTTCGAAGTTAATGAAAGCTAGTCCCCGGAAAGTCTCTAACACGAAAAATATTGATGGTGTTCTTGTTAACCTGCGGAATGATTAAGTTAACTGATCCAAAGCTGATTTCATTATCTGCTTGGGACACTGTCTTCTATTAACAAAGGATGCGACGCGTCCAGTAGTGCCTAATGGCCGCCTTCTTGCATTTACCCAGCTTTTCTGACATTCGATTACGCGATCTTCAGTACAAAGCCGGCTCGCTTGCTGATCGAAATGAACATTCTTCATAATCCATCAATAAAAACTGGCGCGGCATTGATGGCATTTTTGTTCATTTTTTTTAGTTCAAAGCCAATAAACGGCGTTGCTACCGCCGGGGAGGGGAGAGACTGTAACTGGTTATGTAAAATTTCCTGAGGGCACCACTGGGCACATCAGGCGCTGGGCACGGTGTGGGTAGTAATAATTGATGAGAGCCTCTGATATCCCTCTGTTGGCGTGCAACACAATTACAAAAAATTTCAGCTTATAATCAAATCGTCCCTTATGCATGCAACTTGATGCACACTGCACGCATAATATAGGCCTATAATAGGACAAAATTATGCTCGTCACGAGGAAAGAGGTGACTTAATGCCGACATGGTGAACGACACCGATGCAATGATTGCATGCTCACGGTAAGGTTGTCTTCTCTTCGCTGAGTTATGTTCTGTTTTGTCAATTTAGACGACCAGATCGATGTGACAGCTACCAAACGGAGGAAGCACTTCTAAAAACTTGGAACAGTTGGCAAGATTTCTGTAATAGAAAATGTAAAGAAAAATGATATTTTTTTTCCACCAGATCTGACTGACCATTGGGTAGGGACCGACACTGGGGGTTTCACTCGAGCTAAGGTCTTTTAAAAGCCATTTTCAAGATGTAAGGAAGTTTTAGCTGTCGGGAAAAACGCCTGTCGTTCTTGCCGCCAGACCATGGCACTTCTGACTGCCACTGACTGATGCCCGGCCAAAACGTCAAGGACATTTAAGGCCAAAGAACGTTACATGAAGATATTTTTACACTAAAAAAGGGGAAGATATTTATTTTTGTCCCTTTACCCATGAGAGAGGGCATTCCTCCCGGAGTCAAGGTAAAATAGTGATCTGCAAATATTAAGTGCTTGCACACACGCTTATCAATAACTGTCGCGTGTATGGCAGTGGCCGAGAGGCAAGTTGACCCCAGAGACATGTCACCAAGCCCCAACACTTAAGAAAGGTTACAGTGCTGTTGTATCTTCCTCTTTTTTTTGGGGGGGGTACGGATTCTCTTAAGGATCCACGGGAAAATAGACATTCGTGTCAGAAAAACAATCCCCATTTTCAGCCCCGACTCAAAACCTGACGCACCACTGAACGAAGGCGCTAAATTTGGCAAACTGTTCAAATTTGGATGTACCTTTTAAACCTGAATAGTTTGTATCTGAGACGGGCTGTTTTCGTTACCGTGTAAGAGTCTGAGTAAAGGCTACGTCCGTACAGCGCGGGACTCCCCGATTATTTTTGAATTATTATGATTACAGGCCTATCAAGTGTTCTTGTGGAGTTTTTTAAGTAGCACATTAGGCCTACACATGGACAAACCTCGAAGACCTGTGAACAGCATGACCGGAAAAATCCGACCTCTTTCGACTGCGTTTGCACATACACACATCACTATACGTTTTGCATACGGGTTACCAGATGTTGCTGCGTGAGTAGTACGACATTATCATGTCATGGGATACACGACATTTACTTCTATTCCACTTCGTGTTCGTACGTTACAGCTACCAAGTACATGACAGTCAATACCAGGACAGTTCCGAAAAACGTAATAAGAACACGAATTGAGTATAATGCGTGCTAGCTGCGAACGAATTATCTCGTAGGTCCTATGTACAATGTGTCTTGTTTGCAAGGTAGAAAATGTGAAGTCAAAACTAATTTATTGGCGTAGGTTGTGTCCAGGTCCTCTTAAAACTGTTCGGTGTCATCAATATGGATTTTTATCTCGCGCAACGAAAGCCTCGTTCTGTATTTTATCATTAATCTACTTTTTCCACACCCCGATGAGTACGCTTAATGGAGAAGTTAATATTTTAAAAACAATATGGCGAGAACGTGAGAACACGTAATGTTATCTTTTCTGCGTAAGGCATCAGGCTTAAAAGTCATGAGGGATGGAAACTGACGAGGGACTGTAATAGTTCATCGGTGGAAACACGGTAGATGGAGCTGGTTCCACCTGGCTTATTGTATAGGGTTAGGGAGCGTGAAAAATATCCCGTTTACCCTTGGACAAAGTACGCGCACGGAGTCATGCTTCACAGAGGAAAAACTGAAATGCTGGCATTTTCATTCTGAAGGATGTATACGTGGACATCTTTGTACCAACATTCCAACTTCTCTCTCCTTAACACCGCGTCCTTAGTGCAAAGTCGCTCTTAATATAGTAATTATCAAGGTTATTGGGGAAGAGTACCAGGACACGGTAATGATCACATTTTGCATGATAAATTCCTACGTCTTTTAATGTATGAAAAATACTTGACGTACCTTTTTGTGGTGAAGTGCACTGCTTAAGTCAATTTTTAATGCCTTCCGTAAGAAGAAAAGTCATCGGTCCTAAAGAAGACAATTTTCATGGGGGGGGGGTCTTTTCAGATTGTGAACCGAATATTTTATCGCTACAAAAAGTCTCATCAAGTTGTCCCACTTACCGCTTAGAAGTAAGCTTTATTGTTTTGGGTGTTGTATTGCCTGCGTAAGATTTTTCAACGTGGTATGAAAAATTCGTTTGCATTTGTAACAATGACCAGCTTGCCAGCCATTCGTATAGTTGGTTTGGTCGATATGCGTACGACTGCATGTGACGTAGAAAGAGATAGCCACATCGAGAACTTTCACTTTGACTGAAAGTAAGAGGAGAATCTCGTGGGATTTTACCAGCGCTACACTTGGGGAAAAGGGGGTAAATTTTCCATCCCGAAATATTCAGAAAACAAAGACCTACCTCGTGTTTTGATCCGATGTGAGTGGCTGTTCACGTTGTATGATGCAGTAAAACCGTCCTAAGTTTGCCAAGATTAAGGAAGTACGGGTATACTTGTATCTTAATTTCCGTAGAAAATGCCAGCTCAAGCATTTACAGGGTGCTCGATCATTCAGATCTAAACTCACTTTGTTAAGTCATCATGGAGAATTCTCCTTATATATAACGCCCTTTTGTTGGGTATTCAATGACAGGGCGCCAAATGGTCCTAGTCGGGCGCATGAAGACGCCCAAGCTGTACTGGAACTGTAAACTGAGTATAATCTTCTTGCATCCGCCTTTGGGGGCATTCACGTGGTTTTTGACGGTCAGCGCTCAATTCACCGATCAATTACGCAGATGTGCGCAGAAACGCATGCGCCTTTGATGTCTCTCAACATTCTTGTGGACATGAAAATTGCCAATAGAAATACCCAGATTCGAAAATGCGCGCGCCTCCACAGACATGATACGCTTCCATAAATGCCTTTGCCAGTCACGTTACGTCACGTGAAAACCTCTGTAATGAAATAACTCAAGTTATTTTTTTTCTACTCTTGGTAATTCATTGGTAGGCATAAAGCTGCAGAATACTGAGTAATACAAGAAACTTGGGAAACCAAAGACTTGCATTTTGAGGTTGCGAGAGCAAAAGTAGTAAATATTAGGCTTTTGGCATAATTATGATGATTTGATTATAGGTGAAAGCAGAAATACTGACAGCGTCTGCGAACACTGTTTACAATTCAGGCAAATTAGGTGATTGTAAAGATGTTTTATTCAGACCGCTTCCCACTGGAAGGAAGTCAACATAATTACTATGTAAATTCGTACAATCAAAATGCAATGAAAACATGAGTGGAGGAACTCTGAAGACACAAAGTTCGAGGAAAAACATGACAGTGATCTGACACTGTATAATTCAGGCAAGTTTTGAGTGGGTGTACATGAGCCCTTGTTATTGCCCAAGGAAAGTATTGATTTTGAGTCAGAGAAAGAAGCTACTGATAATTCTACAAGTTGAAATGTTTGGCTTTATCGCCGGCGAGGATCCAGCAGGATAGGGGGTCACCCGGGTCACCCCCAACCCCCTCATTGCCATTTTTTTTCTAGCGGCTGATGTCCAAAGCTTGCAAGTCCCCTCCCCCTGAAGCATAACCTATGTAGAGGTCTTTACTTGCGCTTTCCGTTAAGGACAAAACAAAAGGATTAAAAGGCTTCAACATCGGGGAAAATTTCACCCCCGCAACAAAATCCTGAACCCGCCCCTGAATAAACCTCTTCTCGGCAGGACATGTCTATTCCCTGTCTCTCTGTTCTGTTTTCCATTTGTTTTCGTCCGTGGAAAGTGTGGAGCTGTCATTGTTTTAGGACTCCACGGTGCAAGTGCAGCCGCAATCAATGGCTTCGTTACATAACAGAGCACAGGTCTCACGGTGAACGATGTTATCAAAGTTGTCCAGTCTCGCATAAAAACATGGTGCGCAAATGTAACATGTATTCCCGAACTCGAGGAATCTCATTGAGTGAGTGGAAGCACATAATGATACTGGTAATAAGGTTCTTTACTATGTATTTGTTCTGTAAACATGTCTAGGCCCATTGTAATGCATATCAGAATCGATAACGGCGTCGAAACAAATGGCCTTTAAAAGTTAGAGGTAATTGGCGACTTTGAATTTCGCACTTTGTTTGCGTGGGTATCCGCATTAATTTAGTGCGGAGTCTTTCTGTGCCATTTGACATTTCTCCAAACTTCTGTGTACATTTATTTCCGGCCTGCATGACTCACAGAGACAAAAAGTGTCACCGAGACCTGGACGATGAATAACTGGCATTACCTCTGAAACATATTGCCATCCGTAGTTTTAATCAAATAATAATGATAATTATATTTTATTTATCAAATATTAGCACCAAAACTCTAAGGAAAAAATCCCAAGAAATAAAACCGAGGACGGTGCGTAATTCCTTAGATTTTTTTCTCCCCCAACATCATGTTGAATGAGCCCGAAGCCGCATTCGCTTTTGCCTTCCCTTCACCAAAAGCTGGATAAGCCGCTGAAATGCCAGATTTTATTGCAGTCTGAATGTCATACGACACCAGCCCCTGCAACGGAGAATATAAATGGCGATCAACGTTCCTGCTATACGCTAACAACCGATGTTAAATTCTGAATGTTATTTTAGCCATGCCTTATCCTGTCATGGCGCCTGCGTATAGTCGCATTCGTTGCTAAACTAAGTGGCATCATCTGGCGCTAATCAAGTTGCCATCAAATATTCATCCTGTGAAGGTCTGTCTTAGATCGGCAAAATGAGCAAATTGTGTAATAACATGTGGGAATTAACATGCTATTTAGCATGAACCGGGCCCGCGAGGACGGCATTTTACAGTAATGATAGGCCTTCTGATGATGGCATGGATGAAATGTACCAATTTTACTTAATTTATAGACATTGATGATTAAGCTTGCTCAGTGTTGGAACAGACAATAACACCTGTCAGTATAAGGAATGGGGGTCTTCCTAGTTATACGACTTGGCTGGTTTGAGCTTACGTTGATGCATGGAGGAACAAATCGAGCAACAGCCGCCTCCTCTCCTTTAAAGCCCCGCCCTTTTCCCCTCAGCTCTTGTCAGAGTCGTTTAGATGTGAAGGACCTACACCCCGACAAGGATTCACTGGATTCTGATTGGAGGCAGTCAAAGTAAGTGCGTTTTTTGTGTGTGTGTTTTGTTTTGTTTTTATGTTATTGAGTATTTCCATATTCATCAGCAAAACTGTAATGTCATCTCGGGAAGAAAATCTCAATGTTACACTGGTTTGTGGGCCAAGACCAAAAGACTGCTGCGTCGTTAAGATTTTGCTGAAGTAATTTTTCTCGTTTTGGTGATTCGTGGTTATGTAGGTAGCATTAAGCCAGCAAGAGGCCCTTTCTAAATTTTTTTCAGTGAGTGAATTCGAGGTTCAAAATTTGAAAACCAGTGCTCATAAGTATTCCTTGGCTTACGTCACAACAACAGCGCCCTCAGTTGTCAAAGAAAGCCATAATTTCGAAGGTTTAAAGATTGCACTTTTCAGTCCTTTTCGCCTTATAGGGAATTTCGATTCATTGACGAAGAATATAAAGTTGCTGAAGAATTCTGTCTCATTCTTGTTATACTTTAATGTTACAATAAGAATAAAATATCGATTGAGACGTTGTAAACCAAGAATAAAGTTAAACTGTGGGCCTACTGTTCCGAAGGCTGTCCTTTTCAAAGTCTAGATATCCGTCGTCAGCTCGAAGCGGCTGTGACACATCGAACCGCATCTAGGCAAATCTCCGCCGGAAGTGCGGGACTTAGCAACCGCACGGCTGTAATTCCGGAACGCAATGCTTCGTTGTCACAAAAACATCAACGCCTCCAGGGAGATGTCAGCTTAGCAGGATCTAAAAAGCAGCCCATGCCAGTCGCACATTCGCTGGTACTCTGGGGTGGGGATTCCGACGGCCGGGGTGGATTTGGTAGCTAGTATTCTCTTGCCTTACTTGCCTCCTGCTGAATAAATTACTGCAGATACACACACACATATCCACCCACACACAAGTAAAGGCACCTCGAAAACATGAAAGGCACAACTATAAAATCCTGAAAATTTAACTTCTGGTCCTGGCAAATTCATTTGCAGGATGGAAATGAAGTTAAAAATTGTTAAATTATACTTGCAAAGAGGACCTCAACTTTTTACTCAAATGGCCCTTTCCTCACAGAAATTAGGGTGACCAGTCTACTGTTTAGCCGGACATACCAACTTGTTCCATTCGAAAGGAAATGGTTTGAAAGCAAATTACACAGACATGAAAACTTCACCAGTTAGTCTTTAGGCCTAACCGTTTGAAAAAACAAATGCAGTCTCAACAGTGCATTTTCGACAAACTTTTGTTTTTAAAAATAACATTACACTCCAAATCTAGCCAGATGTCAAACATATTAACTGTCGTTTTAAATCAGAAGAAGCGACAGTTAAGCAAAGTTCAGTCACTTAGCCAAATCGAGCTATGCTGTTTGCTCTGTCAGTTTGTTAAGGAACGTCTGTCTGCTTGACGCGGGAACACATTACACTCTGCACTGGAATTTTGAAAAGGGCAGAATTTTGAACAAATTAAGCGTTTTTAATATCAAAAGATATCCTTCTCCAATTCAATTTCCGTCTAGTATTACAATATATTCTACATCCCAAATCATGATTGCACGAACCATTACCAGGGATAACTCTCGTTGATAACCACTATCAGTTCACGATGTTGAAAATGCTCGAAAATTTTACGTAAGAACTTTCCTTGAACAGATATTGCTTAAATCCTGACGAAACATTGTAAACTCTCAAAAAGTTTGTTCCTCTTTGTATTTTCCAGCCTGACAATGATGAGGCACACCATGTGTTCAAGTAATAAACCTCAAAATGCCGCTCCAAAGCGATTCCTTTGTCTGCCGGTTGTTTCTTATGGCCACGCGGACTGTCACGTGGATCTGCATCAGAACCGACAGTGACAGCATCGTCGGCCAGGATTGTCGCCTCGAATTACGCACGGCGAGCGTACAGTAGCTAGGTAATAGCGGGGTACCGAGATAAATTACAGTAGAAACCTGCGCGTTTTGTCGAGCGAGCCGTTCGTGTGGGGAGCGAAACAATGATATCTAGGGCTGCAATCTCTACCGAGTCATCCTGGATTATTGTTCCAAGGTGATGTCCATTGTACAGGCGGGAGTTGATATTGCACTGCCGTCTCAGGTTGAAATTTACACCGGGCCTTTCGCGCCACTGAAAGCAAGCATCATTCCCTTAATTCGTTATCATTTCCTGGACCGTCTCGGCCCACTGTCTGTGGTAGTTATGGATTAGAGTTATTTAAACAGTACTGTTTGGTGCCGTCTACAGAGATCACTTATACACAGTAATTATAGATGGGACATTCGGCGGATTTGGTAATTTTTAAAACAATAAGAGGGTCATTCTTGGCCAGTGGCGTATCCAGCGGGGGAAGGGGGTACTTGCCCCTCCCCCTGACGGATTTTTAAAAAAATCAAATACGAATGAATGTATTTTAGTTGTCAAATATTAGCACCAAAACCCTAAAAAAAACAACACTGTAAAATAAAGCAAGGATGTTGGGACCCCCCCGACACCAAAAGCTGGATATGCTGCTGCCCGTGGCTCATTCCCCCACAGTTCACGCCTATGTGCCTCCTCTCTTTTTCCCACTGCCAAAGCAACTTAAATTTTGCTAGATCCTTGGAACAGTAAAATGTGATGAATGGCTGATTTTGCAGGCGTCTTCCTTTTCTAATTTTGGGACACAGCCTCAACATACCTTCACCATCCCCTAAAATTGCACTGTGTTTATTTAATGCCTTGTTTGCATTAGATACTGCGGATTGTTGCGATGCATTCTTTTTGTAAAAAGTCGGCATCGTTTACTGCGATCGCTAAAATGTTTCCGTTCAAGAAAAAAAGTCCGGGGGTTTTTTTTAGCGAAATAACTAGATTTTTAAATGACACTCTGCCTCTGGGGAGGTTTTGTCATCAAGTTCAACCTCGTTTCAACCCCGGAGGTACGGCGCGCTTGTAGAAGAAGCGAAATCGATTAAGACGGGAGATTTACATAATCGGGAGCCCCGGGGTCAAGCCGAAGCCTGCCTAGATCCAGCTTGATTAAACAAGATCCAAGTCCAGGGGGGTTTGGAGAGAGATGACAGGACCGGAAGGGGGGCCTAGGAAGCACCAAGGCAGCTCGATTACCCATTTGCATTCAAATTACAGTATCTAGTTCTGGCATTTTGATTTTATTTGGGGGGGGGGCTCAAACCGGGGAGACATTCTGTCAGCCCCTGCAATTATCAAAAGCGGAAATGCCGCACAACTTTAAATTCTGACGGTCAATTAAACAACGACAAGGTTAAAGTAGACTTGTAAGTAACACCATTTGGCAAAATGACTCCCAGAGCACAAGAGCAGTGCAGTAACGGTTGCGAAATCTTGAATGAAAACCTTGGTATCTTCACGTCGTTGATACACATCGATATTTTAAATTTGTCACTGATTGTCTGTGGTTGGAATTGGACCTTTATCTCACACACCAGGGAGTTCACACTCACCTATAGCATGGTTGAACTCTTTCCAGGGCAAACCATAACCTGCGACTGCTTTTGCTCTCAAGTTCTTTAATTTTAGAGAGCAACTAAATTGTTCCAGAGTTGTATAATATCCACGTTGTGAGGGGGTATATATAAGGGATAGCCACGTTTATTTTGTTTTTCTGGGGTGTTTCTGAGCACTCTGCAGATAATCATTGTAATACTGAATAGTACGAAAACCTGTCAGCCTAAAGCGCACCGCAAACGAGAGCTGTTGGCTTTAAAGGATTCAGGAAATGAATTTTTCTTAGAATCGCTTTTTGTGTATCTCTGTGCTCTTCTTCCATGTATGAAGACTGTTTGGCATCTTTTTTGATTTACGTGAATTGAAAGGTGCACTTTTTTATTTAAACATTTAAAATTGACCAAGCATTTCTGGATAAGTGAGGGAGCTTTTGCTTTGATGTAAATCCAGGAAGACATGGTTCAAGTTGCATGTTTTTATGCTCAAATTGTGAAATCCAAATTTGCCATCTAGTAACATTTCTGTGAAAAGGATGCTTGTTGGCTTATTGCCATAAACTTACAAAGCAATAAACTGTCAAAGAAAATGGAATCTACCATAGCAGTGCTTCGAAAAATATAAACAGTTTCTGTGGACAAATCGGTGCAAGATTGAGATCCACTGCCTTGGATGACATCACAGTTCTGCTAATGATTATGCAAATGTACATTAGCATAAAACCAATAAAGCTCCAAAATATGGGTTAAAATTGCAAAACAAAAGTTTAAAATGAGGCTAATTAAAACCCAATGGTCAAATTTCAAGGGGTTTTAGTAAAATTTATAAAAATATTTCTATTTCATCGTTCCTTTAAAGCTTCAGGTTTGGACAAACGAATCCCCCCAGCGAGAAAAATCAAATCAGCTCTGATCTGAGCTTGAAACTTTAACTTCAAAGGTCAGGCATTTCATTCAAATTATAAGAGTCCGCGTTACCAGCAATTCGCAAGGAACGATTGAACAAAATCATATCCCTTCCGGGGAACCGTTCCCGTCGAGCCCCTTCGACAGTCCTGGCCGCGTAGATCACCACACAGGGAGGATTTTCACAAGCTTTCAGAAATCTTGCCTTGTGTTTCGGGTTAGTACAGCGAACCAGCCTTCTGACATTTGATGAACTCTCGTTTTTCCCCACACACCGATTGTAAAGGCTCATTGCGGTGCCAAAAAAAAAGTAAAGAAAAAAAAAAGGCAGCCCGAGGGGGGTGCTGAAAAAATACTCTCCCTGGCTCGGTCCCGGTCCTTCGAGAATTTATCTTTTCTCGAGCTGTTGTCATTTCATTTGTGATTTTGTTTCCAGTTTTCTTTTTGTTTCTCTCTTTCATGGATGGCTACTTCCAGTATTTCTCCTTTACAGTTTACTTTCTCTATACACCTGTTTACCTGTGGAACGCCTTTCAGCTAACTGGCCTACCTGAATTTTTGGCATGTTCTATCGACTGATACCTTTTATTAGATCGTCGCCCAAACAGGGCGCTGGGAAGGGCTGACGGCTTTGCACTGATTGGCTACTTTGCGCACGACCTGTAACCGAGAGGTTATCACTTCCTGTTAGTGAAGCGTTACTTGAAGTTTTTGGTTCGCCAATGGCAATGCTTTACGCGTGCCGAAGTGTCGGCTAATATGATGAAAACATGGCCTTGATACAATTACAGTAATTTATCTTTTAATTAAGCATCACTGATCACGTGTCTTTTGGCGATACATTTCAAATCACTGGTCATCTTGATCAATTTCAGCAGTGAGGATGAAAAATAAAAATATCCAATTGAAAACTTGTGTCCTTGTGTAACGCATTGAGCAGAAATTTACCAACCATGCTCTGCGCGCGTCATTAGCTGTGACCCCGTGTGACGTATTTGTGTAACGCCATCAGCCCTTCCCATACCCAGCGCCCTGTTCGGGTGCATGGCGACGAGTGAAACCTTTGCAAGGAAAACTTTTTTTACCGTAAACAAACATTTTTTCTCAGCTGCATCTGGAAGTGTGTGTGGCTTATTAGCATTTAATCCCCCACTTATAAAAAACAATCAACGCAGTACATAAGAAATACACTGTGATGATACATGTCAATGTAATTTCCCACTGTAAAAATAGACTCAAATCCTATTCCATTACTTTGAAATAAATTTACATGGAATTCATCAACACGAAAATATCCACTAACACGTTAAAAGCACTGCAGAGGATTTCTTTTAAACTGTAACTGATATTAACAATTTACAGCCTATTTGTATGTACAATTTGTTGAGGGTCTTTTAAAAACATCTTGAAATCGCCAACGCCAGCTCTATACACATATTATACAAGAACATCTACAAAAACACCAAGTTAAAATACTGATGTGGCCGCATCCAAAGCAAATCTGTGGAATCCAGGGGGTATCGCTGAAAATCTTGGAGGAAAAGTGTTGATACCACTGCCCTGTTTGATGCGCTTACACACTCTGGAATATCTGGGGAAGGCTAACTTAGGATGGAACAGCAACCTTTGTGTATACTGTCAAGAGGGGAGACAGTTGATCTCATTTTCGATTTATTTCATTTTAGACACCCTCTCCCCAAAAGATGACCCAAATAACCCCAGATGGGATGTTTTGAGTCCCATTCGGTAGTCAGTAATTTCAGTCATACTTTTGTGAATAATAATCGATTTCAAGTCAAAATTTCAAGTTACAATTTCAATCATGCCGTTACGAGAAATGATTACTTCCATAGACTCTACTCATGATACTATGCTATTTAATATGCACAGATGCCTTATCAGTTTTGTTCAAAATGCTCTGCATCTGCTTTACGGCAAATCTTGGAAGGTACTCAAACTATACCCTTGCAATATGAGTAGCTGTGGCCATACTGGTCTTACAACTAGCAATCCTTTCAAATGCATGTAGTAGTTTGTCCAATGTATCCTAACAAACAAACCACACTGTACACAGCTTGCTCGGTGCACCCCAAACCAAAGGCGCGTTCAATGACTCTCAGTCCAACTTTAGTGTCTGGTGAACCCCTTCAAAAATACTAAACTGTGTTCCACAAAACAAACTGACATCCAGGGACCAGTTTTAAACCAGACAAATAAAAATCAATGAAAATATGAATAAAAACGAAGCAACCAAATTTGTTCTGCTTATGTTTGCCGGAGTCTAGGGCGGGTGGTGAGGTGACACCAAGGTGTGGGGGGTGTCATTTGAGATGCCCGACCTCACTGTTTTGTTTCTCAGAATTCCAACTGCGCGTCTTCGATGTAGTCGAAACGGCCGCTGAGTTGGGACACTGACCGGTCTGTGGTCAACTCATCCACCTGGTCGGATACAAAAATCAAATGGGGAAAAAACAAACGGTCAGCAAAATCTTGTAGCAGGACAACTGAAAATAACAGCTCAGAGATAGGGCGTCTGGACTGTTCGACTTCAAAATTCAAAAGGATAGTTTTCTGTGAAATTCAGCATCCCAAAATGTAGTAAGACAACCTAGAAACAGTTCAGGACGCACAGAAGAAATACCTGTTCATCTGAGCCTCTGCGAATGTAAAAATGTTGAACTTCTGGTGGGGAATACTTGCAGAATTCAGCAACCCCACAAGAAATAAAATGACTACATTCCTAACACCAATTTCATTCAAACATAAAACCAAGCATACATTTACATATCATAGTGGGGTCCTTCATAGTCTGTGTGAAGAAATCTGCATGGCAGAATCTGGATGGAATAGCATTGGCATTTCAAGCCTCATTACACAAGAATGAAATTAATGACCATGGATAAGTTAGTGAGTATGTAAGTACTAAGTTTCAGCTTTCAACATTTCCATCAATAAAGGAGTTTTCTCTCCCCGCTGGAAAAATGTACCGGGTTCGTTTCTCCCGAGCGAATCCCCCATTTGTCAATATGACCGGGATCCCAATTTTCACAGAGGACCTAGTGTCCGCAAAATCCAATGCAAGGCATGTTACCTCCTGGCACAGCCCACAAATTACTCGATGCAACTGATGCCTTTGCTGCTATGGGTGGGTAAAGTTTTGTGCTGAGTCAGTGACCGAATATGCGCATCACAGCATCAATAACTGACGATATAATTTCCTGACAGGGGTGAAACCACGATCTACTAGGTATCTCCAGAGATGAAACTAGAACAGCAAAGCCGCCATGGCTCACTGCTTCTTATGAATTTGAATTTCTTTCTTGTCGTAACAGCTTATGTTAAGAGACATCCAAGTATACAAATGAAGTCCACCCTGCTCTGGAATGCTACCTATTCTGTCATCAGGGTAATTAAATTCCCGTCTTCGAAGGGAGAGCCTACCCAGATGATGACAGCAAAGGACAATAAAATGTCCTATTTTTTCTTTCCCTTTCGTAAAGACTATGCAATCAAATCCCTAAAAGCAAATCAACAAAGACCACCAACAAGGGAGATGGGCATACAAAGACTTCATGGTTCTTTACAGGAGAGAGGAATGCCTATAGGAGAATGTGGGTCCAGTACAGTCAGACTAGGGGGAGCGGCGTTAGCGTAGCGGTTCTTTCCTCGCTTAGCACCAATGAGGCCCGGGTTCGAGTCCCGGCTTGGCGTGGGCTTTAAGTGCTTTGGTTTCCAGTCCATACTCGCTCTCGCAGGTTTTCTCCGGGTACCCTGGTTTCCTCCTGCCTCTAAAACTGGACCTTCTTCCTAACTCCGTAATGTGATGCTGATTAATCAAGTGTATGAATAAACGTACAGTTATTGGCGCAAACAGCCTGAGATGCTGAAAGCACCACCAACAACAACAACAGTCAGACTTGACCTGGATGCCTAGATAAGCAGTGCATTTGCGAGTTTGTATCGCACAAACCTTTTCCTGACTACTCCCGAAGAAGTCATCATCCCCCGAAATGTCAAAATCCTCCTGGATCTCCTCGCTGATCTCTTCGCTGAGGCTGTTTCCTTCGTGGCTCTTCTGGCTCTTGTTGCCGGCAGTGTGGGCCTGGCTCTGGCTGTCTTGGGAGCTGTGGACAATGAGAGCAGGAAACCAACAGTGTTGTAGTAGAGACCATCACAAGATGCAGCACAAGACCAGTCTCAAGACCAGACAAAAGACCAGTCACATGACCAGACAAAAGACCAGCCACACGAACAGACACCAGACCAGTCACATGACCAGACATCAGACCAGTCACATGACCAGATACCAGACCAGTCACATGATCAGACACCAGACCAGTCACATGACCAGACAAGTCACATGACCAGTCACAGGACCAGACACCAGACCAGTCACATGACCAGACAAGTCACATGACCAGACACCAGACCAGTCACATGACCAGACTTGAGGCCATTCACATGACAAGACACTAGTCCAAATGCAAGACCAGCCAGAAAATTAGACACAAGTCAAACTACAAGACCAGTCACAAGCAACATGGTGAACAATGACAAAGGAATACTTCTCTTGCAATTCATTTGTATAGCTTGTGATTGGAATTCCGACTGAAGGTATTGTGTTGTCTTGTAGGTTCTAGTTCAGTCTTTAGGTCTTGACCACAACAGTGAGAAACATCCAAATTAAATGAGTGATCTCCACCGAGCTATCTGTCCTAATGCACGGTGCAACCAAAAAAACCAGAAGTCCTCTTACCTCTGGAAGTCATCCTCATAGTCCTCGCTTGCTTCACTCTTGGACAAGTCAAAACTCAGTTTGTCCAACTTGTTGTCCAACGCTTTCAGGTCCTTCCAATCTGAGCTAGCACCATCTACAAACAAAACAGAATAAAAACAAAAAGCACATCAATGATGTAGGAAGGAGGACCTTTGTGGAAAGTCAATACCAACATTTCAGACCAGTGAAACACTTCAGTAATGACACCCCAACGTTGTGTCTAGGTGCTGTAAGCGATGTTCTCTAATTATTTCATGACGACTGCTTGATATTTTTTCATAATTTTGGGAACAACCATATGTAATTCAATAGCTCTGTCAGTAATACCACAAACATGATTCCTTAAAGTTTGAAAATTCAAATTCTTCTCATGAAAAATTTTTCTAACTCACTTTAAACAAACACAAGAAACTACACTGCAGTACTGTAAATCAAATCCATCACAGCAACAGTACATTGCGACAGTGAAAGAACTTTAATTATACAGAGTGACAATCCCTCCAACCTACTCTGCCTACCTCTTGGACCACCCGTTTCCGGTAATGGTGGGGCCCCAGTTAATGACCCCATCCCACTCTTTCCTGCGAGTGGTGGGGCATTGAGCAGAGAGGCCATACCACTGCTGCTGGATTTCGGGGGTGGTGTTTTTGGAGGGGACTGAGGTGGACTCTCCTTCTTTGTCTTCAAGCTAAATAGCACAAAATAGGGGAAAACAAGGTGAAGGAAGTGAACAAAATCTCACTTGAAAGATTTGAGTTAACAAGTACAATGAGGTTAAAATTAAAACCCACCATATGTTGAATGATATCAGCCCCGAGCTTGACTAAGAAAGAGTGCAATTTTCTTAGCAACAGAGGCCCCCTTGGCAGGAACTTCATTTGGCTGGTTAACTGACGACTAGGAGATGCATGCATTTCATGCGCATCGCTGCCAACAAAACAAACACTCCCGACCAGCATGGCTCTTTTGAACTAATGAAGGGGCTGCTTCTGCTCAAGGCGGATTGTGGGGACCCAAAATGCTCCAGGGGTTCAAAGTCCCAAAACTTGTTCAATTTTTTCCTATAAATGAGATACTGTCCCGTCACAGCATAACACGGACCAAAAAACCTACAACCATGGGTATCCACTGTCCACATTCAACACTTTTTGGAAGGGCTCCCATTTTCCTTAGTCACGAATCAGCCATGTTGAATTGTAAAAATTGTCCCCAAACTATTAAGAGGGAACAGAGATGATGCAGTAGTGGTATAGTATAGGTTAACTTCCCTGTGCTCTGATGGGTAGTTCAATACATGGGTAATTCCAGAAATTTAGGGTCCATTTTTTGGTCTCCCTGTCACATCGGACATGCGATTTTGTAAGTTCAGACCACATTTTCCCATTTCCAAGAAAGATGAATTAACCCCACCAGTTCTCAATCCTTCACCTTTTGGAGGACTGTTAGGGTTAATGCAAATTACCTGCCAAACAAATAGAAGTAGTTTGAAATCAATTCCGGGTGGCATTTCCATGTCAAATAACGAAGGTCAGATGTAACAGGACACAAAAATGTCACATTTTTGGACCCCTAATTTCTGGAATTACCCACATACATTATGGATAAAAACCATGTCCTTTTGCCTTTCAAAGTGACGCTACACCTGTAATTATACCAATAAGTCAGGCTCCTTCCCATTTCAAAGTGTGCAATAAATACAGTGGATTCAAGGAGCATGATCCAAAATGGTCACCTCCTGAAAAAAGCCAGAACGTTAGTGCATGATGCTCCGAGTCTGGAACCTGACTTAATTGTGGAAGCTTTGTCCTCAATTGTCCACTGTCGACTGAACGATGTCACAATACCACAGTAAATCCCTAACCTGCTGAAGGTCAGGGGCTTCCTACTGGGTGCCGGTATGTCATCAAAGAAAGAGTCTTCACTGACATCACTGCCTCCTGACAGTGACCTCTGACGACCTTTCATTTGTTTGTTGGTGTCTGTTTTCTCCTTGGAGGCTGGGAGGCCCTGTGGGGTTGAGCTGTCTGTTCCATCGGAGCTGTTACTTTGCCGTGCTGTTATCTAGGGAAAGATGTTCATACTCATTAACACTGTAATGTTGTAAGTTCCCACGGTCATCACACCTGTTAAATCTCCAATTTTTAATCTACTTAGGACTTACATGTAGTTAGCCAAATATTTCAATTTGGTCAAATCTCAGGCTTTTCAACAAGCAAAAAAGTATAGAAAATTTCTTTGTGTCAAATTATTTATATCTTATAGCTCAACACATTTTTAGCTTCTTTTACGGCTTGGCAAACAGAAGTTGCGATAGCGACAGTTCCAAATCCTTTTTCGCATCAAAGTGGTGGACGAGAAAATCAGACGTCAAATTACAAATCAGTAACAATGAAACCTCACATCTGGCTCAAAGAAGGGAGGAATCCTGACAATGGAATGCCACCACCACAATTCATTTCTCTGAATGGTTTAGTCACTAGGGGCTGGAATCCAAGTGACGGATGTGTGAGGACATACACTGGACTTGTGAGGACATAGCGTGGACTTGAGAAGACATCCAGTAGACGTGTGAGGACATGAATTGAACTTGTGAGGACTTAAGATGACTTTAATGCTATACAATGGATTTTTTCCATAACTGTCTGTTGCTACTTCAATCAGTTTTCGACCAGCTGAATAATGCTGACGTTAGATGTGGCAGTTCACGTGATAATGCAGCACATATCCTACCAGTTTCAAGTTTGCACTCTGTTTCATTGAGTCGCTCAGTCTTCTCTGAGAATGGGGGTTGATGTCTGCGATGTCACTGGAGACGACCGAACGGCAAACCACAAACAAGCGACGATACATGCCCAGGAACTCATCAAAGTCGATGCCTGTTTGTCAACAACACAGCAAAAAGGCTTTGACACATTGTAAAAGGTTGATGATACGAATCAGGACAAAGTTGCAGGACAAAAAAAAAACCATGACAAAAAAACAACCACACAACTTTTCCTTGGTTGTGATTTAAGGCATTAAGAATTGCAAGTTGTCACCAACTGAAATTCTCATTCTGTGACATATCGAATGGAGTTTTAAAAGTAGAGAAATGCTTTTTGTCTTTTTTGTGAGGGAAAAATGCAACAGTTCTCTTACCACTACTGAAATCTTTATCACCTGCTCGAAATTCATCATTGACGTATCTCTCCAACATGTTCCTGAAAACAAAAATTAACGTACATGTGTAATACAGCCGTTTCATAATAGTGCGTCACCAAGAGTTTGCAATGCGTTGGCCAATCACAATGCGCAAAAACTGCAAACTCTTGGTGGCGCACTATTGTGAATCGCCCGTATTCACAGACAGAGACAAACAAATGAAAATATCTGTCACAACACATCTTCCACAGAAATCTTTGTATTCAAGGAACAGACTGACTGAATGAGAACGGAGTTGAAAGCACTTTGCATAATGCTGACTTTTGATATGCGATAAAACTATTATAAAAACAACACTCGTACGGTTAGCTAAGTCTGATAATAATGTAAGAGCATGCTTTGCGATAGAACCCAAAAACGTTTATGTGGAAATTGAAAGGGGAGATGTTTTATGTATTAGGTCCTGAATTATTACACATTATTATATCTAAATTGTATTCGTTTTGTTTCTCTTGTTTTGTCCTGTATGTTGGGCACATCCGTCAAAAGCTTAAACTTTACGGAAGTCGCCTCCACAGTGTGAGATTAAATGTTATTAAACTGAATTGAACTGACTTGAGTATGCTTCATAAATGCATTGCTTATAATAATGAGGTTATACTGCAGTACTATTCACATGCACTCTTTGAACCAGAACAAGAATATCCCTTTTAGATGTGGATGGGAAGGGAAGAGTATGTTTAAAGCTATGAACCAAGGCCGCCTTGGAGTGTGTGCCTCCGATGTCTTTGGTGACAAGAGGGAAAAAACTGAAAAACAAGGTCTTGTCCCTGCAGCCTAATAATTGGTGGGTCTAAAGACCATGGCTCAATTTCACAGCGCTGCTTTGTACACGGTTTCAAGCTTACAAAGGCTCAGCATATTTTATGGAGACCATAAGCAGTAAGCACCACCAAACGCATGCTAACCTTGGAGGAAAGATTTGCTTTAACTTAGTGATGTAACAATAGAAATCCCTATACGCATGCAACCATTAGGATGACCATGCCACGCACCGCCATGAAATAGTGCTTAAGGTTAGCAAATGTTTCTGCTGCAGTTAGCACAACTTTTCTGTTAACTATTAAGCAGCTCTGTAAAATTGGGCCCATATTGCTGGTTTGAGATGAACCTGAGGCCGTTTTCCAATACTGAACTTAGGCTCCGTCTCAGGCTTCAACTGTTTTTTTACTAGCTGACTTTGAAGCTGTAAGCGCAGTAATTAGTCTAATAGTGCCACAAAGCATCAAATAAGATGCAAGAGAGCCAAAAACTACAGTAATCTAATGTAATTTAAACGCTTCAGGCCCACAATCGGGGATTGGTTTTGGGAATGAAGCCTGAGACGGAGCCGAAGTTGAGTATTGGAAAACGGCCCTAATCTTGCGTAAGATGATAGATCACTGCCTTAGGAGCATGACAACCCTGATTCCTAAAAAATAACAGAATGCGAAGAAGCGCTTGGAAATGGAAATTTTATGCGTCCCTCAGCTCACCTGTGAAAATGGGGGAACATGTCCATGAACAGGTTTCTAAGCTCGTCCTTGTCAATGGAGCCACTCTTGTCCTGCATAGGGGAATGAAGGGAACCAGTGATGACACTGATCAGGGACTATGCTGATTAGACCACATCTCCTTATCTGAATCAGACAAGGGGCAAGGTTGGGCATGATCTCTAATTCAACCACTTGTTATGTTATTAAATTATACGCAGGTGCACCAGTCACAGGGTCATTCCAGAGATTAGGGGTCCAAAAGTGTGACATTTTCGTGTCCCTGTTACATCTGACCTTCGTTATTTGTTACGGAAACATCCCCGGGATTGATTTCAAACTATTACTAATTGTTTGACATGTAATTCGAATTAATTCATCACTCTTGAAAATCAGCAAGTGTGTTTTGAACTTATAAAATCATGTCAGATGTGACAGGGACATGAAAAAAAATGAACCCCTAATTTCTGGAATTATCCCACGCTCTAAAGACCCTAGTTGAATTATTGTAAAATCTCACTGTTACATTTTGGTCAGTGACATGTCATACGGTTGTAAGCTATGCAATTTGGACTTTGTCACTTTAAAAAAACGAAGAAACTCCAATCTTTACAAGACTTTGTACAATGTTTTTCAATTTTCAGTGGCATGAGTGTGAAGTGAACAATGAGGAATCAGATGATCCGAGGAAAAGTTGCAGGCCTGAATTGAATAATTTTCATGTGAATGGTACCTTCTGTACTTCTGAATGAAATCAGCAATATTAATGTCCTTAGCAAACTGCCCTGTTATGCTACTTCGAAAAAATACTGTCAGCTGCAGTCATAGGGTGAAAAACTGCCGACAACTGCTCATAAATGTCAAAGTATTTTTTGGACAGATAACAAGCCATCTGATCCAAGTACTTGCCATTTTAAGCAGGAAGTATCAATGCTGATCGTGGCCCTACACATACATGTGGCTACTAACCAATGGCTGCTGGCAAATGTGACGGTTAGTAATCCATTTTGTGTCCAATTTGGAAAAAAGTAGGCCACTTCTAATTCAATGGGCACACAGCAATCTGGAAGGATCATTTGGACTATACATATACTTACTTTGTCGTAAAAATCAAATTTCTGTTTAGCGTCAGCTATCTGAACTGCAGTCAAATCCTGTGGGGATACATTTTTTAAGAAATCTGATTTTAGAGATGATTTCAAAGTTTCTGGCGCAAGTGTATTTTCAACTTTGCTCAAGAGTGGGGCTTTCTCCAGATTGGATAGCAATTTGCATATGCCAATCAGCTGGAATGAGCAAGAAGACAAAGTGAAGCCTTTTGACAATCAAAATGTACTTTTTTCAAATGGCAGAACACCTCAAATGATGCAAGTTAAGCAACGGGTCAATGTGTGGAATCATTAGCGAGTCTAAATGCGTTTGTAGCAAGCAAACTAAGCGTAGGATTCTTCCAAACTTCAAGGACGAGCTGAGCTAGGGGGTGAATTGTTTTATATCTCAATAGGATCTCAAGCAGTGAACAGAGCATAGAAATTAGCACAAATCTTCTCCTGGTTGGCCAGCGACAGTTGTTGGAAAGGAAGATGCAAATGTAGCCATGGGAATTTTAAGAGGCTCACCCGTCTTCATCTCATGGGAAAATTTTATGCAGACCTTTTGCATGTGTTATGTTTTGGAGATGAACTCAAATGCCTCTGCATTAGAAGCAGATGCAAAGAACACATACAAAGAAATACATCAATATGCGTGGAAAACGTCAAAGAACAGGATGAAAAAAGCAATTATATTTTGCATTTTCTGAATCCTTCAATGTATTCCCTGAGCCTTTTGAAGCAATATATCAAGAAACTTCAAGCAATGTGAGGAATCTTTGCTGGATTAAAACTACTGATTTGCTCACAGTGCTCAAAAAGGTTGTGAAAACCAAAAACTTACAAAGGGGTTAATGTGCGCACATGCTGCTTAAATAATCCTGCGGGGAAGTTTTACTAAAGTGTGCAAAACATTTAACAATACAACAAAAAACATGGAAGGCAAATCTAACTTAATTCACCTCAAAAAAGTGGAGGGAACAGGGCAAAGGTCACAAATTGTTAGAGTAAAACAACAGGCACAGGTTGTGAATTTTTGGATATTAAAGGTATCAAGAGAAACAATGTAAATTGGCGGGTTGTTTAACTGGATAGGTTCACTGGTTGAAATGATTTCAAATTATACAAATATCATGCAAGTGGTTAAATGCAGTAGTTCTTTACCTCACGTGCAGTTCTAAGTCTTATTATTTTTTTAAATTATAAATCCAGACATTGAGACAGAAGGTGTAAGAGTGGGTGGGAAAGCAAAACAAAATGAATGGGGAAAATAAATGGGATACAAAGGAGTGAAAGGTTTGGATGAGATCTTTTTCAGATGAGTTGTAATATAACCTTTAGATTCCACAGTGAAAAAGTTTTCTGTGCCAAACCTAGAAAGAAATTTTTGCCCCTTTACATGGTGAATGATGATCTACACTGCATTCCCTTGCAACAAAACCTGCGGTTTCTGGTTCGACTTTTATTCTTTCTCTAGCACTGCTATGCTCGGCACAGCATTTGTGTCCAAGAGCATGTTCCTCTGTCGCTGTAAATGCATAAATAAATTTCTGTCTGTTTTTTGCTCAGAAAACTTTCCATGCAAACTGTATTGGCTCTTTAACAAAATAATGCAAGGCACAAGGAGGGAATACGGCTCATCTAGGATGGAACTACAAGAAAATTAGGATGATGCTACATGAGTTAGGTGAGGGAACTATCACGAAATATAAGCATGGAAGAAAACTACCACAAATCTACCTTCGGTATGACAATTTCCTGTGTGTAGGAAGAAGGGGAAGAAAAGACATCAATCGCACACAACTCCAACAAAGTACATTTGTTGTATAAATGCACCGTGCTAGATATGCAACTGGATTCAACATAATAAGTCTCAAAGCCAATTTTTTTCCTGGGTAACTTTATTCTTTTTTGATGTATCACTCGGTCTGGCATCCCGAGGAAAAAGGACATTATGTGGGTGAAAAATGGGGATGGTTCCTACTGATTTCCGTCGTGCCAGATTCTCTTTAGGGCCTTTAACTCAAACTGGCTCTGGTGACGTTTGACTCATTCTGTTAGGCTGGGTCAGATATAATGACGATATTTAAGGATTAAAACTTCAGGCTTACAATTCAAGTTGTTCTGAGTTTTTCCGAAGTCGTATGGTTAGTGCTTATGTTTACTGAGATATGGTGAAAGTTTAAAGTTTAAAGGAAAAGTTGATGAGGTACATTCCAGGACTTCTGTTGGATTTGTTTCTTGACTGAAGGCCGACACTGACAGTGACCTACCTCAGCATTTGAGTGGGATCGCTGAAGACTGGACTTGCTAGACTGTTCGTTGGCTCGTCGCAGCAACTCGCACAGGAGTGGCTTGCCTCTCGTTTTCTCTGACTCCATAATGCCCAGGTCCTTGGCAAGATTGTCCCTTCCTTCATATTTCTCCCCCTGACAAAAAAACGATAAACGGAATTAATACTGACTACTAAGAGTGACAGAAGTAATTTCTCCAGAGGTGATCCCTACGGTATTCCATTTTTCCATTCAGGGATCATCTCAAGGCTTTGCTTTACTTTATGTAGAATGACATGCTGAATCAAACACTGTGCAAACCTTAAACCCTAAGCATCATTCCATGATATCTGCATGATATGAAATCTCACAACTATCCATCCCCATTGTCGGCAAATGGCAAATATTTACTAACCTTGGCTTACTGAGTATCTGGTAAAAATAAAAAAGTACTCAGCATGGCACAACAAAGTACATGTAAGAGGCTACAAAAATGCGCATTTAGCTACAACTCTGGCTATCACTTGAAATCTGCCATCTGAAACCCTGGATATTTGCATCCATATGAGAGACTTACAAAGTTGGTTTCTGGGTTGAAGACGGCGAGTGTGAAGTCCAAATGGAACAGCTCTAGAAATTCCTGGACCAGGGAGGCCACAATAACACCTGTTGGGAGATGCAAAACCATACATGTACAGATATGTAGCTGGTAAACAATTAAGCATGATAAATGTGTGAAGCAATATACATGTAGGTTTATAATACAGTTTTTCGGTGCTCGTCTCCGAAGAACATAATTTGGGTCCAGGGGGAGTGAGAGCGGGCATTCTAAGTATGGTCCACACCAATCTGGATCAGATGGTATGCGGATCAGACCAATGACAGGCTGGGCTTCCTCGCGCGCTTTCCCAGTTTGCGTGGGAAGGCTGTCACTTTCTTAGTTTTCCCCACCATACGTGTTTGCATCAATGGTTCAATACTCCGTCTCATGCTCTGAAACTTTGTTATCCCGCTTTTTAAGAGGTATAAGTTAATCAGGTTTGCTGACAGGGGAAAATTTGATTGAATAGCTTTCTTGCAACTGTGAACCATTTCACCACAAAAACACGATTCCAAAACCCCACAGTGTTACAACACCACGTAAACCATGTTGGCTCTAAGTGTGAATGGAGTAGTGACATTGACTTCTCAAAGTAATGCAATGCAAGGCATGGTAGAGTGTAGCAAAGGAACACCAGCTTTAGTACTGTGCAGTTTACACAGAATGCCCTGTCGTATTAAGTGGACTGATAACTCCAACGACATATACACAATGATGTTTAAAGGCTGTCACACCATGTTGCATCTGGTTGTATTTAGCATGGTAGCGTGGGTCAAACGCACCTTCCTTGGTTGTGAGGAATTTCTTAAGCTCTTGATTGATGAAAGGAGTTTTGTTCTGCACGGCATCTTGCTCTTCGAGAGCCAGGAAGACACTAGCTCGCAGTTCAGCCTGAAATCACAGAAGAACATCATGGCAATTACAAAAAAATGAACATGAAACTTGCCTCTTTCAATTTTCTAGAGAGCAGTATCTTTTAGTTTCTGGCAAATTGTTACAATATGCATTCAACTGAAACATTGTTATTTCTACGGGTACCTTGAAGTACCTTAACCCTAACCACGCTGAACCCAACAAGGTTATGCAGGATTTCAATGGTCCCTAGGGGATTAGGGTTAAAGAGCTGTTACCACTTTTACTGAGCGTAAAGAGCCGAAATCATGAAGTTTGCTTCGGTATGTTTGGACTCCAGCCTCTTCCTCAAATTTCATGAAATGACAGATCCTGATGTCAACTTCAAGAAACATTCACGGACAGCTACCTGCCCAAGTCCCAACACACTTGTGAACTTAAAATATCCTGGATATCAATCACTGCAGAATGTTTAGACCATGACCAAAGCACCGTAGCAGTATTTTTGCAAATGCTATCATGATTATTTTGCGTACAAAAATGATGAGGGTGTTTAAATACGAGCATGACTAGGCTGGAGGTATGATGTAGGCACTACTGACTGTACATGTGCAGGCATGGTACTATAGGGGCACTGTTTCTGATGACATGACGTTGATCATTATGACGCCTAGCCCCCTACTTCAACTTTTACAACAGATGGGCACTGCATTAACTGATCAAATTTATGATCAATAAAAGCCACCAGAATGATCGTATGGCCAAGTCATGTAACTTTTGTAAGCATCGTCGTTAGTACTACTATACTACCTAGTTCGTCCCCTGTCGTAGGCCTACTCATGCATCATGATCACTGCACTGCATTTAGTTCACATCACAACCCTTTCATAAATACACAATGTAGTATTAGGTATGTACAACAAATTTAGCAATTCTTACCCTTATCTTGCCGAGAACTCCACTACTTTCCAGCGTTTGGGCCACCAAATCCCTCAGCTCAGTGTCTTCGTCCGCTGACATGGTTGTGAAAATTTGCGGTTTACCTGCCAAAGCCCGCCCTCATTTGGTGTACCGTACTACTATTTACCCATAGAGCTAGAGCTACTTGGGTTGTAGCTCTATGATATACCGCGTACCGTAGGGCCGTGCACGCGTGACGTGTGCGTACCGCGCGGACGGCTTTTTTAAGATGTCGATAGACCCGACGACTGTTTGGAATTTTTTTATTTCGATTTTTTTCTCTTAAATTACAAGGTCTTTTCTATCACCCAGAATTTCAAGTCAAAAAAGAAAGAAAAGAATTTGCTAGATTTAGGACACTTTTCCCCTCTATCTGAAACCTTTGTTAGTCCCCCACCACTGTAGACCTCTGCAGAAAACAGCCGTGATAAAAATATAAACTGCAACGTTAGGATTAATAATTATATTACGTACACGTACGTACTGTACATGTACATGTTTCGATTTTGTTCCACTGTGGCCTCATGTGGTCTTCACTCTCCTGCTTTCAACTGCATGTATTTTGGCTATTCAGTGGGTCAGTATCTCACACTTGTAGCATCAAGATAGTGACATAGTCCCAGAATTTATTTCATTTGAACGCTGAGAAGCAGTGAGTAAGACAGCTAGCTGTGGGTAGATGGACCGGACAGGTGTCGCGATTGGAGACGCCGCTGACACTCAGCACAGCCGAGCTTTGACGGAGTTCACGCCTGTGTCACAAGTGGTTGGTTTCGTTCCGTGCGATTTGGCAGATTTACATCTGTGAATTGAATCCTAGTTTGACAATTTTCACGACATACTGTGTTCAGTACAGAAACCACGTTAGTAATAGTACTAGTTTTCAACAGGAGGTAGGATAATTCGTTGGAGAACCATGGCCTTAGTGTGGTCAAAGCAGGGGCCGGTTAGTTTTCTTTTTTTCAGCCTCTTGCTGACCATGTTTTCTGTTATGTCTGCACTGCCATCTCAACAGACGCCCTCAACGTTTGGGACGCCACTAGTTTTACTAGTCTCCTTTGACGGATTCCGCTGGGACTACCTGGACAGAACCGACACCCCCCACTTTGACAGTTTCGTCCGGGAAGGCGTCAAAGCAAAGTATATTTTTGACACGTTCGCATCCAAGACATTCCCCAACCATTACTCTATTGCGACTGGGCTTTATCAAGAATCACACGGCATTGTCGGGAATGTGATGTACGATCCTTTCTCGGGAGCAAATTTCTCTTTGTCAGTAAAGCAGAACCCTGTGTGGTGGAATGACGGTGAACCGATTTGGGTGACCAATCAGAAACAAGGAGGCCACAGTGCTCTCATCATGTACCCCGGCATGGAGGTCAAGATTCGAGGTCAATACGCAACATACAGACTTCCAGAGTACAACTCCACCTTCCCGTTCAAGGAGCGCATCGACATGATCACGAATTTTTTTGCAAACGACTCGGTTAATCTGGGTCTCTTGTATTTCCACGAGCCAGACCACTCGGGCCACGTGCTCGGCCCCGATTCGCCGGGCATGGATGCTGTCCTCCAGATGTGCGATGAAACCCTGGGGTACCTGATGGAACAGCTACGAAATGCAGGCCTGGATGACAGGGTTGACGTGATCATAACGTCAGATCATGGGATGACACCTGTGTCATCCAACAACTTCGTTCAGTTGGATGATTTCGTCGACCCGTCCCTCTACCATTACACAAATAACAATCCGGTATTTGGTATTTGGCCATTCAAAGGTACATGTCATTTACATACATTTTCATGATGTACATGTAGTCGAGTGAGCCTTTACTTTGACTTCTTTGAAATTTTCTTTTTGTCAGTAAACTCCAAATTTTGAAAAGAGGACATCGACTGTGTCAAAATTTTTCTCCCTAAAATGATACAGTAAAGTACTTCGGACAAAGTGGTTGAAGATCAAACCCATCAACAGAAAAAAAAGTAAAACATAATACGGGATTTCATTATTTGCTTCTCACATCCGAGTTTCATGCCTGGCCATTGAAACTACTAATATCAGTCGTGTTTCTTAAACTATTTTGTTAATATTGTGCCCCCTTTTCATGTTAACAATTATGTTTCTGTTTATAGTAAAACTAAAAGTTATTTCTGTCTCAACTAACTTGCTCTTGGTTATGTTGAAGAAAAGTGAAGTACATGTAATACATGTTACATGTATGTACATTGATTTAAATGCATCAGTGATTACCGGTAGTCAAAACCAAAATGTGAATATTTGTGAATAAGTGTTTCTGTTTCTCGCCAACTGAAGTCTGGTAAGAATGACTTATTTTCACACAATATTATTTCGTAGTTCTTGTAGTTGCTAGAAATAACTGGCTTTGCTCCGTTTTTCTTGTTTGATGAAATGACAGAGAGCGATGTTGAAGTTATTTACAGTAAGCTGCAGGGAGTCGGCCCCAATGTGAATGCATACTTGAAGGAGGAGATTCCGGCCCGGTATCATTACCGTGCCCACCCACATATTGCACCCATTGTGCTGGTTGCTAAGGAAGGTTGGGCGATTCACCGTGGTAATGACACCAGCAGTGAGTATCTCTACCCACTAACCCTAACCCCCTAGGCCCTTTTTGCTAGAGACCCTCCTCGATCCTCCAGATCCTCCAATTTGGGCAGTGCAAAAATTGGATTTTCCCTCAATCCTCCAAAATTTCTTGAAAATGTTACTTGGAGGTGTGCTTAAATCCTTCAAAATCCTCCGGCAATTCCTGCCATTATGTCGAGGCAGTGTGAATGGCATTCTGGAGCAGGGCGGTTGATTCAAAAGAAATATCGGGCTGCATGACTTAGTAAAAACAACACAAGGTTTAACCCACGACCTTCATGCATGGCATCCTTCGCACTTTTGCCATTCACCATCAATCCACCGAAATTCTCCAAAACCGCTCGAAGAATTTTGAAGGATTGAGGAGGGTTAGGCATGTTAGGGTAAGCTAATGTGCATTAGGTGAGGTTGATCATGCTAAACCCAACCCAAAACATAATAGATGCATGTACTGTATGTAACAGTATCTACAATCTGACCTAGTGCTCAACCAAGCTCCCCAAATCCAGCCGGACCTGATATAAATTAAGGTACATGTACATGTACAATGTACGTGTAAAACCGACCAAACTTAAAAACCATGAAAACGAACCAACCCAGAACAAGACACACCAAATATCAAGGTCGGACAAATTGTCCCAGAATTTGTGCCCGAATTTGTCTATATGTACGTTAAATAATTTCTTTTGAAACAAAGGTGCAAGAACTGAAAATTAACTTTTTACAGTCCTGGTTGGAGTGTAGATATTGTTGCGGGGAAACAAACAATCCTACATGTATATACCGGTTTGTATCTTAGTTATACTGGGCACTTTCACTCTGTGGTATATTGTCGCAAAGCAAGGTCAAAGGAATGACCCTCGTTTTGTTTGTTTTGGATTTTTACCATGATGACGTACATGTACATGTAACTAACCCAACCTCATCCAAAATTAGCAGGTGCAAAACCAACCCAGCCTGATGGGACTCAAGCAATTTGGGGTCGGTTTCAGCTTTTGGTAACATTGCCTCCCACTCTGTTACTTTTAAAATTCTTTGGATAAAGGGGAAGATAGATTTTGATTTGACAAAAGTGTGCATCACAGTCACCACAGAATGCCTCCGGTCACAGGCATGTGGCTTTAACCCACAACAATTTTTTTGGCAAAGACTGTACCGGTAGGTCAACAGAAATGATATGTCTTTACATCTTACTCTACAAATTATTTCATTGATATCACAAGAAATCACAATACATATGAATTCAGTTATTCAAGGAAACACAGCTACATGTAATAATAGAGTTTGGGGAGTCTGTATAATATTGAGTTATTTGAATAACTATCAGTGGACCTACAGTACATGGACTGGTTTCAAAGAAATTAACTTGCATTGGTTTTAAATTAAAAAGGGCTAAAGAAACCTCATGCAAAAATACATGTTAAATTAACAAGCCGGTGATATAAATTTAAGTCTTGACAGATACAGAGATAAGAGTGAATTAGCAACAATATGGTGGCATTTTATTTGTATAATTCCGTAGAATATAAACCCATGATGCATAAATTATGCACAAGGATAAGGAAGATTAACATAATTTCTTGTACAGGTTTTTTTTTAAGGGAAGGGACAGTTTTTTAAGGGAGGGGACAGTATTTTGTTTATGTAAGATGGTGGATCTTTCCAAGATGGCAGATGATTTTTTTAGAATATTTTGCTGAAAGTTTTGCATCTAAAATCTACAAAATTCATTTCATCTAAAAACTGGTCATAAATGCATGTTTATTAAACAGCTTGAAAATGAGGGGAATAAGGCTGAATTAGAAATGAATATGGGTGATGCACCTGTGCATGTACCCCAATGGGCGTTTGGAAAGGATCAACAGATTTTGTGCATTGTGATTGGTCAACGCATTGCAAACTCTTAGAGGCGCGCTATTGTGAAATGCCCGTATTGGACCATTGTAGAAGTAGGCCATGTTACAGCAACTGTCTCTGTTGTTCTTTAATGCACATGACGCACTTGAAATTTACAGTACATACATGTGTACGGCTTTGATAAGAAGACCTACTTGTACAGTAGTGCCCTATTATTACATGTACATGTAGTTCTGGTGTTTTTTCCCATTGGTGCCCAATCATCAATCTTGTAACTGGTCCATTGTCACCATGGTAGCCTGCATCAGCATTGCCATGGTAACTAATGCATTACTGGTAGATTGACTCAGTTGCTGTGTCACACTGTGCAGCATGGCCTTGCAAAGCCTTGGTTGTCTTAATTGCCTACATGATGTCAGTAGAGCAAGGAATCAACCAAAGATTTCCATGTACAGGTAGACCTAACCCTGCCAAAGTCTGTTACCATGATGTTATTGGTTGGAATACATCCTGCTTGTAGCAATTTCTTTCCTCTGCTAGTATTTAAAGATAAAGTTAGAATGTTTGTCATGCAGGTGATGGCT